CCACTTCTTCTAAGCATGGGAATAATAGCGTGAAAACACGCAATACACTTATTCAAGGTATGCTTCTCGGGGATCAACTGGATCACCGAATGGTGCGACGAAACGATCTTGAACCAGAGGGACTTTTTTGTATAAGCTTAACCAAAAAAGACGTTCGGACGTAGAGCGCTTTTCCAGAACCGTTGGTTGCATATTATAGGGGCACGTGCATGGAGCACAAAACTGACGATTATTTTTCAGAGCGGCCCTGGAACTGCCAAAAAAAGAGCAGGGAACTTTTAGGGATTGAAACTTTTTATTAAAAAAAAGCTCTACAGCATTGGTAGCGCTGATTAGTTGCATTGGAAGCTTTTTGTTCAATGAAAAAGTTAATAAGACATATATGAGCTCAGGAAAATGGAAATTAGAGAAATGCAAAAACTTGTCATCAGTCAAATCACATTCTTTGGTTTCCAAATGTTTTTGGCATTCCCAGAGCCGCTCAGAAAAATATTCCCACTTTTATGCTCCCTGCCCGTGTCTGTATAACATGCAAATGATTTTAAAACACTCCACGTTCTCAAAGACTTTCCTGGTAAGAGGGGTGGGGTGGGAGGGAGGATATTAAGGGTGGGGGAATCATTGGCCATGAGCAAGAAGCTGCAAGGGTGCGATGTGTGAGCTTTCTCTGCTGCTCCTTATTAAAGTCTTTGAATGAGTCGATTGCGAGTTAGTAACGCCCTCCTTCTCAGCGTTGAAGATGGCCTTATCCTTGAATATGCATGGCACATTGGAATGACCCCTCCAACTCTATTTTCGTCTTGTTCAACAGCAATATGTGGATGCAAAATTTTTAATGTAAGAACTTGAAAGGCTCAGATTCAGAAAGCTTTTTGGTTTTCTTTGTTCTGTTAGGGTGTTTAGCTGCTTCTTTGGGCCTGAAACTGTGTTTGGTTACTGTAGTTCGTTTACATAACAAATTAATTTAACTAAATCATACGGTAACTAGTCGAGATGTCAGGTAGCAGTCATATTGCATAGTTCAATGTGACAGTCACAAGGGATTGCTTATAATCGCCATACTTCGGCAAATATCATGTAGCCCCTATCCACTATGTTCTTCAAGGGTAACTGTTTTATTTCGAGGTCTTCCAACATTTTCCTATATGTTGTATTATTTATTGGCTGTAGTTGCAATGGCCATTATGAGGGAAAGTTCGTTTGTACGTTTATAGTGAAGCATCCATTCTATTATTTGAACAGATGAGAAGTCTCGCAGTGGTGTAGTAGGCTGTTATGTGGGCCTGTCGCTTTGCCGTTAACATACATCTAGTGTAAACGAACAATCAGTAGTGCAACCATTTTTTATTCAACGAAACGAACTTTTGCCATGCTGTGACTTGTTTGATATTGTTGCTTTATTTGTTAAAAGATTCTCATTTTATTCAAATAGTTTCCAACCTATTTGGAAAGGTTTAGTAGTCTATTTTTCATTGTATAAAACTATTTCAGGTTGGCACCCAGTCAAAACCGGTAGACCTGAAGGAATGGTTCGGACAGATCCAGACATCAGACCGAGCGTCGCTGCTTAGTAAAAAGCTACAGAAATATGCTCAGAAGCGAGGTTTACAGTAGTTTTAGTTATTTTTATTCTCGATTTGCATTTTTACTAACATTTTATACCTACAGTTTTTCATCCTTAACCCTTTTTGTTGCATTTATACTACCATGGTTTGAATTCCTTCAGTTTTTAGGAGTGAATTGTTTTTGTTGGCCTACGTTTTTTGAGTCCATACTTCGGCAGTCTGCCCCATAACTTTTTAATGATTAACACTTTTTATCATTCCCTGGTTAGATTAGGTTGTGTATATCAACACATAGTATAGTTTATAAGTAGTGGTATTAGTCAGTGCACGCATATAGTAGTAACAGTAAACAAGCACACCACGCACCATCACACTTGAACACATTTAGTAAACACAATTAATCTTGTGCTTTCTGTCATTTTCCTTTATTTTTTGACATTTTTTCCTCAACTAATTGATTTCGTTAAGTAGTAGTTCGAGTAGCAATTCTCTATTTAACCAATTCGGCAATTTCCAAAGTCGTGAATCTTTTTCGTCTTTCGCTTCTAATTGAGATGGGATTTATTACGTTACAATAATCAATGCTAATTCATGTACACTTCATAGTGCACTGTGCAAGCGCACAAAATAAGTTCAGATAGTAGTCCATTTACCATTCCTGCTTTTTCGTGTCTTAGGCTTTCAAAAAGTGCGCTGTCACAGAGTTAGATTTAGCGCAAGTGTGATAAAAAGCAAAAGGGCTATCACATGTGAGGGGCTTAGGATAAAGGATAAAGCATTTGCCGTTGATCAATCCCTTTTTGGGATGCGGCACGCATTCTACTTCCATTTGTACATTCGTAGTGGCGTTTGAATGCGATGTGGCCTATACAATGACTTGCGGGGGCCAGCCGATGTACAAGTCAGTGTTTTTATCCTCCCAGACAAGTCTGGTACCAATTAACCGACCCCGGAGGGATGGAAGGCTTGGTTGGCCCGGGCGACTCACGATTTGATCCCGGACCGCTCGCGTGGTAAGCGCGCCACTTGTCACTACACCACTTCCGCCCCTTCTTAGTTCAGATGAAAAAGCGCGTAAGGAGCGAGTTTGGATTGAAGCAACCAATTTTTGTTACAGATAATTTACATATAGAAAAGGTCTAGTAAAAATTTAAGTTTGAGCAAGACCGCAGCAAGCAGCTGAGGTTCCCATCGCGAAAAGGTCGCCGATGGTGACTTTGTTTCGAATCGTCGTGAATGCATACAGGTTTCTTTTAGCGTATTAGGGACTCCAACCTTATATCAATCATCATGGGAGAGGTCCTAGACCGTTTCGGGGTTTTATTTGCTTTTATTCGTTCATAGGCTTTCCCCTAAACGCTGAACTGCTCATTTTGTAGAATGATTATTCAGTACTTTTGGTTACAAGTATTCGAGTATTGTTAGTATTCAATCATTTGCCATTTCCGGTTCCGTTTTATTCACCAAACCCAGCTTTTATAATTGCCTGCATGTCGCTAGCGCCTTTTGTTCAGTGCAAAATCGACGAAGTTCCTTTTCACGTTGCTATGCATGTAACGAACGCATGATTCACTCAGTGCGCTTTTGATTTCAGCTGCAAGAATAGGGAACGAGCGAATTCGCATCGGTGCGTCATCCTCATTGGACGTCGTCGCCGAAGGAGACGGAAGTCCTGAGTCGGTCTCACCCAACGTCGACCAAAGCCATCAGAAAAGTGCCGATGCAGCAGCTATGGCGCCAACTGTTATTACGACATCGAAAAACGCCGATCGCAGCCTCCAAGAAAGAAATGACTCTGGGATAGCCAACAACACGGAGCATTTTTCATCAAAGGAATCGACACCGGCCAGCGCTGACTCGGACACCAACATAGTCACATCTACTCCAATGCCTTCTGGTGATACTTCAGGCGCTCTGTCACAACTGCACTTATCGCACATTCCAGCCAATCCAGCTTCTGTAAGACAGATTCCATCGGATTCGGATGAAGAGTTTTTCGATGCTTCCTCTGATTTTGTCGACAATTCGGCAGGAGCCGTTACTGATGACATCTTCACTGCATGAAGATCAACTCAACGGCAATGGCATGCTGCCGGATGATTCGGGTCAGTGGTGTTTGGTGGTTGTTTTGTAATTTGTAATAGCTGTATGTAGTGAAGTGCTTTGTAAAGTGCACATGCGACATTTTACAGTTTCTTTTCTGAGTGTCCTTTTTAAAAGTTTTACTGCGTTAAGGGCATTCGTTTTCCAATCAGTTCATTTTCCCCTTCGCTTTTTATTCTGCAGAAGCATTCTCTGGCAGTTTTTCGCCCTCGGAATCGGTTTACACTCCAGAACCCCTTGGAGAAATGTTATTACTATTCCCAAAGTAACTATGATTTATTGCAAGAAAACGTGTTGTGTTCGCAGGAATTTCTGTCGTACGAAATTGTATGACTCAATCGTTGATGAAGGTGGAAGAGGAGACGCCTGCATCTCAGCTCATTGTACAAACAACCGCCAGCAGTAAACCTGTTAGGTACGGTTTCATTTCCCTTTCCAAAGTGCTGAACATATAAGTTTTTTTTTCATTGGTTTGGTTGGATTTGGATTGTGAAGTGTTTGATTATATAGTTTTCGTTACAAGGGTTTCGGTCTGTCTTTTTAGTAAGGTTAGGTATAGGAAGTCTCGTCGTGTGAGTTAGTTAGTTAGTTAGTTTAGTCAGTTAGCCTTTGTCTTGAAGCAGCAACCCCGATGGGTTTATACAATCGCTAGTAATCTAGAGAAAGATGCATCGGGTATAGTCGAGAAAACATGAAGTGGTACTGGAGCGAAAAGCGCCCTGAATAAGGCCCTCCTAGGCATTAAATGGGCGGCAACTTTGGCCTTTGGGTCGCCACGCCCCATTGCTATCCCCATTGCTTGCCGCGGCGATCGCACGCAACGTGAATTGCGAAAGAGCGGATAAGATAGCCGATAGGTTGAATCGGTGTGATATACTTCCCTTACTCATCTCAAGACGGAGAAGGGGTCTTTGTTAAAGCAACAGTCCCATCAGGGTTTTTTCTTTCGATAATGGGGTGAATAGATGCACTATCCCTAGTCAAGAACATCTGAAAAGTTACTGAACAAAAAACTCGCCTTTGAAAGCCGGGAACTAGTAGAACGCTCTCGAAGTGGGTGGACCTACAAATCGGTTGAGAATAGGCGGTCTTCCGATCGTAATGATCGTAAAGATCGCATAGCATTGGATGCGTATCGATCTTCCTGTCCTTATACACCTCATACAATCGATATGTATCCAATTCGTCGGTTAGCATAGTCGGTCGTCTTATTGTTACAATCGTTTCCATCGGACGCCACCTATGCATGCGTCCACCGATTTGTAAGTCCCGTCCACTTCGAGAGCGTTCGACTAGTTTCTATCGGCTTTCAAAGGTGAGTTTTTTGTTCAGTAAATTTTCAGATGCTTCTTGACTAGGGCTAGTACATCTTCCCACCCCATTATCATTGAAAGTAAAAACCCTGCTGAGACTGGTATTTTAAGTGCTTCATTGGCAGTTTCCTTTACTTTTTTTTTAAATTCAAGTCAACTCGGTATCCACACTTTCATGATCGACCCCTGTTACCGTCAGTTGATCTAAGGTTGTTGCTTTAACAGTCGTACATATCGGTGCCTTAGAGCGTCAAGTGCACTGTGTGATAATCACACTGAGTGGTGTCGTATTTGACGTTTTCAGATGGCTGTCATAAATTGCAGCGTAGTTGAGGGAAAGAAACGCGAAGTGAGATATGGCAGCTGTCGGGGTTGGCGATGCGGAGATTATGAATGTCCCCGTACTTAAGAGAACAGAAAGGGTGAATAGGGAAGAGAAAAGAGTGACGTCGGGGAGTTTACAAACTGCAGGCTTCGACGTGACAGTCCAGAAATGATGTTTCAATCAATTTAATCTTAATAAGAATTGATTCCGTCATAAAATGATTCAATTTCCCAACGAAATGCCAATTTCTAATGTTTACTCGAGAGCTATTGTGCTGAATTGGATTTGGAATTGAAAAGTTCAAAACTTTTGAAGCTCCATTTTTCTGGAAAAAATCGTTTAGAATGGATATGGGTGGGTGCCTTCATGTGCTTTTTTCCTATGTCTGAATCAGATTCAAGCACCGACTGCTAAGGGTAGAACATGTCGATAATTCTTTTCCGGGATGCGCCTGCTGGTTCCCATTCAGGGCAGTAGTGACATTTTGACACGTATTGATACGACACTATGCATTTAAGGACCATTAAGTACTGACTTCTGAGTTTATTTTAGTATTTATGATGTAGTGATATGTTGTGTTAGTATATAGTGATATGATATGTTATAGTATTTATGACAATTTATAACCAGAGAATCAGTGGCCGATTTATAGTCGGTTCGCTAATCCGAGCAGATGAACGTTAGTTGACCAGGGAGGGATCGCTCCAGGATTTGCTCGTTGAGAGCCATGCTTGACCGTGAAACCACCTGATTACCACTCTTACCCCACCTTCAACCTTAACTTATTCTTATTCAACTTTAAGCAGAAGGAGTTTTGTGCATGGTGCCCGTGCAACTTCAGCCCGTTGCCTGGTGTTACCCTCACCATGTACCCTTATTTTTTCTCTTTTTTTTTGTTGCGTAGGGAATAAACTTTTCTTTTCATGAGAACCTCAATAATTTCTGATAAGTACTCCAATATATCTTCTTACACATTCTTTTGAAGAATATGTGGTTACAAAAAAGGTTCAAGTCATAGTCATATGATAGGAGGAGATTGGCTGATTCGAGTTACCTGTGTGACTCATTGTTATTGTTAAGGGCGAGTTCTGTCAGTCCACGGCCGACGACTACTTATGCCGCAGAAACTAGACCCGTTCCAGCAACAGTGCAGAACACAATTCAAACGCATACAGTACCTTCAAGAGGTTCCACGGAAAGTATCGACCAAGTTGGTTTTCATTCAACTACATTCTATCAATTCCAATTTGACGATGAGGTGTTGAAGAGGCTATTTTCTCTTCTGCGTCGTACTAGACGGAAAATCTTGAAAGACGGATATAACTAGATCGGCTGCTCGGCTGTTGATAGCATTTGATCAGAAACGGTGGAAAGTTGGGGAGAGGTGGACCAGCATGAATGCCTATTAGTGGAAGGACGTCGGGCCTTACCTTTGGCACCGGAGTTCTTCCACCATTTGGCACCTTCCGCTGGCCTACCTCTTGACACATCGTCCTCACACCATTAGCATTTCAGTGTTCATTACTAATAGCGAGTTTTTATGATGTAGCAACTAATTTTTAATATAGAGCTGAGCTCATAGAATCCTTGGTTGTACTAACTTATTATTTGAATTCCCTTAGCTCTCCTAATTTTACTTAACATTGTAGTCACGCGGTTTTACGCCCGCCATAACACCGCTTTCATCACGTTCTCGGACTTCTACTAACAGTAGACAGCAGACGAGACTTTCTCGACCAACCTCTGCTCTGCGACCGCTGGCTAATCATCATCGTACATCGGAACATACGACACATACAGTGGGTGCGAATCAGAGTCATGGAAGTGCGACTGCACGCGTGCCCAACCCGAAAGCTCAGGTTTGGATAAGTTTACTTGATTTTTTGTTTAACAATTAGCTGATTAACCTTACTAATGCCTTTTCTTTTCACTCACATTTTTTAGCCAATTTACTATTGCAATTTTATAACTTTAGTCATTTGTTGTGTTTTTATATTTTATGTAGAACCAATCTTCGAGAGTGTAATAAACTGGGTTCTATGGAAATTAGGTTCAAGGGGCATTTTATTTTTGTGGCTCGGTAAATTTATAACTCTGATAGCTATGAATTTTTGGCAAAGCAGGTCTTCTGTGGTTTGTTTATTATCATTTTAAAGATCCTTCCACAATGTAAACATAACTATATATTCGAAATTTTAGCGTCGAAATTGTTTTTATTCAATGTTTTAGTTACTACAAGCGCTGATATCAACACCTACAGCAAATCACAAGGAAAGAGATCGAAACAGCAACATTCAACATACTGTGAGTGTTTTTTTGTAGGTTTTGTTGTATTAACTTCATTTGTGACAGTATTTGATTTAGCCCGAACACTTGAACTCGTTGAACAATCGCCCATTCTCGGCACCACGTCCTTCGCCCCAGGCCGGCACTGATATACCGGATTTAGCTGCTTTACAGGAACTCGCTAGGCAACAAGAGGAAGGTAGTGTTTGTATCCATATGTTTTTTTACAGTTATTTGTTTGTAGTATTCGCCCAAGCATGAGCTATATGAGTGAGTCTACTTTTGTGGAGTTGGTACGTAAGAAAATCACATTGTCACAATCTTTATTGAAAGTAAAGGTCCTTAGTTACCCACTGGACCTGTTCCTTCTGTTCTTCTTAGAAATTATTCTGCGATTCAAACCCCTCATGTCCACCTTTTATATGAAGAAACGTCTTATAGGGAGTGTTTGAAATTACTGCTTTATTTTATGTTATGTAAGCTGTAAAAATTTCCATGTTTAGCTTTACGACAGGCCGTAGAACGGCAGCAGCATGGTAATGTTGAGCGTAAACATTCATGGCAAAACGACGTAGGTTCGGTAAGTCTCTTTGATTATTTTCTTCAGACTCTTTTTCATTCTCTCTTTTCCAAACTATCTGAATTGTGCTTTTAGAGAAGTATGCATTCATCGGCTGGTTCACTTGTCAGTAGCAAATCGGCGGATATGTCCTCACTCCACAAAGTGAACGCGAATACGGTATCGGTTAGCATTATGATACTTGCATAAAATTAGTCTTCTTTTTTTTATTACGAACTTTGTTAGGGAGTCCCGAATTTTGAATGATTTCGAACTCTTATTGGCTACTTAAGTGCTCCTGGTTGAAAGTCAGTCCTCTTTTAGATGTGCTGAAGTTTTTTGTGAGCTTACAGCTATTCAGCTCAATAAAATTGTATCTGCAGGTAAAGGACGTTCACTGGGTACCATCTCTTTTCCTTTTCTGTTGTGACGTCGTTCAAAATGTGTTTCAGCGCAAATACTTTGGTAATCTTTAATGAGCAGCGCTTAGTAATGAAAGAGGGAATTCATGCTTTCGGCGTGCTTCGTTTCGTTGAAATCTCGTCATAAGAGCTTATGGGAAACTTTTAAGAAGAAAATGACTGAAATGATGAAATTCAGCTGTAATTAAAGCACTAGCTTGGTTGTGGCACAAATGGAAAGTTGGTATACGAAAGTCATTTGGTGAATCTGTCACTTGTTTTGTTTCTTCTTTCTCATTTTTAATATTTTTTTTTGCAGAAAATCCCTGGTCCGACACGGCTTCCTAGGAAAACTGGAATTCCGGCGCCTGCTAAGAGGTTATTTGAGTCTTGCTTTCGCTTCAATTCTAGCTTTTCAAGTTTTCGATTTAATTTCAAAGAGTTTATTGTCGGCCTTTTCTAGACACCGAGCAACTCAGACCGGTAAGCCCTAGGAATTATTTCACTTGCTATGAAGAACCATAAAATTCTTCTGAACACATCATTTTATTTGACTCAATGCTTTATCACTTGTGCGTTAAAATTGGTGCACGAGTTGTAAATGACTTGTAATATTGCCTCGTTGCATTTATTTCGCCTCAGCTAATGTATTGTGTCATTTGCAATTTTCCATTATTTTTTTTCGTAGCACTATGTTTGGGAATTATAGAGTTGGAACTCCTGCACGCTGTGCTTCGGCCATCCCGCAGCCTGCCGCCGACGATGAATGCTTCTGATTACGTCAGAGGCTGTGATCCATTTCTTATGTCCTTTCATGGTGTTTCATTCGATTATCAAGGTAAGCGATCTTTTCTCGCAGAGCAAGTCTCGCAACCTTTTTCCTTTTTTTCTTCTGATCATGAAGGATATATTTGAGACTAGTGTTACCCACTCATGTATCCTCTCGTGCTGTAATGAAAAAGTCGTTACAACTTTTCTGGCCACACCTTTAACATTGTAACACAGCTGGGTGGGGAAAATGCACGGAGGATCATCAACCTCTTTATATTTGATGTTTCCATTGATTTGCGCCCTAACTCAAGTGTCAATGAAAAGATTGAATGTAGAATGTGAATGTAAAGAAGTGCGATTACGATAAGAGTTGCCATTCGAGATTGAGGGGATCTATTGTGTTTTATAATAAAAGGAAACGAGAAGCTAAACTGAATTGCTATTATTTAAAATTTAGTCTCAGTTTCGAGAATTCCAGGGGATTTTATATGAAATTTATTTTGGTCTTTTGAGACAGACTTATTTAGGATCACTTAGGATCATTACTTGACATACTAAGTAGGCGCATTTAGGACCTTGAATCGAGGATGTAAAATATGCAATATGTTAATGTGACCAGTTAGTGACTCGCTAGGTTTATTTTTGACTCTTTTTTTCCTTTTTTTTATTGTTTTCTCGTTACTTTTTTTCAAACATTACTCAGTTCCCTGCCGTGGAAAATGAAACAAGCCATCATATCCGCTAAAAGATAGTTTCGGCGTTGATTTCGTACCCTCTTTGCCGCTTGAAAAGTTCTCGCGAAAAGGCAGGAGCCGGTCAGGCCCGCAACCCACACTTACGCCTCGCAACCCCACCCTGCCGCTCATTCGCTGCCATGATGGCACAGAATAGAAAAGCCGTGCACAATGACGCAGCCAGCCCATTGCGAAACCCCAATGTCAATGGCATCTGGAGCACATGTCGAGTTATGCTGCGTGGAATCGTACAACCTCCTTCTCTATCCAAGGTAAAAGGCGCTGAATTAAGGGGGTCTCAGTGCGGGGTGATCGGTGGTTTGTTTTGCCCGCTCTTTCTGGACCACCTTCACTATAGTTTATAATGCACGCTTTTCAGCTTTATAACTGAACGCTTTTCCACGTCTATTTTGTCCCGAATCTTGCCTTTAAGTTATCGCTGTAGAACGAAGGCTGATGAGATGTGAATCGTACATCTCATTAAGATGCCTTAATGCCTGCGTGAAATATTTCAGCTGCTAGAAGTTTCCCCAATAAACATGTCGTGTTTTAAAAGCGTAGGGTCAGCTGTCTTAGAAAAGTACAAGTAATTTATCTTTGTCTAGCACAGGTTTCACGAAATTGTGGCTTGGGGTCGCGTACTATACAGTTGTGCTTGTTTACCATTTTTACTTGCATCTAAAAAATCTTGGTAGAATCCTGATATTATAGCTTACTCTTTCAATTTTCAAGTTAGTTAATTTTTTTTCAATTTTAACTCTTTTCAGGATTTACACCTTGATTTCCCCTCTATATGGGTGCCTCCAATGAGCTTCATCTTCTTCGTCATTTTGGTATACTTGTCATAATTTTGTAGTTAGATATGGCCATATGTGATTTTTAGTCCTTTTAGATTTTTTTGACCTAGATAGGTTTACTGTATATTACTGCTTATGCGCGATGACTGATATTGATGTCTGATGATGATGAGATATTGACCGTAGTACGAGTTTTAGAGTATCAGTTAACCTATCAGTTCCTTCAAATCGACTATGAGGTGTTCTTTCACCTGTGTACATTTGCTCTCACTATTTATGATGTAGTGGCCTCGTTTCCTGTAGTGAGGGTCATGCTTTACTGCATAGGATTACTGTAGATAGGTGTTTATTATCAGATTGTTTGAATTGTAGAAAGAGTTTGCTTCACTTTTCTGCTTTTTTGCCAGTATTCAGCCAAAAATTGTGATTCCCAGTCAGAACCGAAATCTCTATAGGGAATTTGACCAACGCATACTATCCTGTACAATATATTTATTAATGCCCGGTGTTTTACCGACTGATGTGCGTATGTTGCTTGTTTTTTGGTTACTTGGAACTAATTAGCACGTGAAATAAAAGTTCTTATTTGAGAACCTGAATGTTGCTGTAGGTTGTGCCTAATTGCCTACGTCTTTCTCGAGACCTGATTCTGGGAAAAGGTTTTAGTCGATTCGTTCAGGGTTTTCCAGTACCGGGTTTTTATCAGACTGTGCAGCGCCATCCCTAATTTCCATTTCGTGTAGCACCAGTCTGTTTACTTTCCACCCAATTGCACACGGGTTGTGGCGATTGGGCCGAGATCGGTGCTAGAGCGCTTTTACAGTTGACCAGTCTAGAAGAGCAGCACTTTTTCGAGGTATACTGGGCTTTGTGAACACGTGTTTCCTCCGTTCTTCTTGGTAGATGATCCCTTCATATGGTTCTTTTTCTCTGTTGGTGGCCATGGAGCAGTGTTAGGTGTGTGCGCTCCTTTGGAAGGTGATGAGGAAGAAATCGCTTCGAGTTTTTTCGTCTTCTCAATCAAGACTGCTCAAACTACCATAGGAAAGGGTGATGCTAAGTGGTGTTGTGCTCGCCTGGCGCCTCTCTCGAGCGAGATAAGTGTGGACTCGAACATTCCAAAGCATTCACGCATGTCAAGTGAACTGCCCTCGACTCCACCCCCATAACCTTAAGATGTGGGTACGCTAGGATAAAGATTAATGCCGAAATAATCGTAACATGCAGCGTATGGATAAGCTATTTAGGTCCTTCATTCGCAATATTCGGGGAATTCGTTGGGATAGAACCCAGTAGGTGCGTGATTTTACTTGCTGAGAGGCCGCATGGGACAGCGAGCGAGCGCCTCGCATCACCATGTTTTCTGGACCGCATTATTATTTGATTATGATCCATAGAATCAATGTAAATGATCTGAAAACTATTTTCGCACCCGCGAATAAAGACGAAACGATTGCGGCCCCGCATACGGACTCGCTCGCGCTGTCCCACAACGTGCTGGCCATCGGAGGCGAACACACCTTGCCTTTGGTGTTTTTTATCAATGGGAGGAGAACTGTGGAACAGTTTTACCAGTGATCAATGTCCTTGTTTTACATTAATGATAACCATCTCCAGCAGATCGAGATTTGTTGATACGCACTAATAATAGGGTGTGATGCATGCCAAATAAAATGTAAGGGGCCTCTTTTATTAGGGCCTTTCCACCAAGGATTCCGGAATCCTGCAAGTATTTTCTGGGTCTACAACTTTGACTGCATACGAAATCTGCGCGCGTCACACGGTTCAGTAACGGGCTTTTAATGAGGTTATCTGAATTGGCGTCTCCCAACTTTGCGGCCCTGCTCATGATTTCAACCTTCTTTTCAGAATAAAATTATTGATTTTATATGTAATCGAACGGTTTTGTTAGTAACAGTAAGTAACAGAGAGCCGATAATTAATGGACAAAACCCACCCCATTTCCACCACTGATCAGGAGTGGACCTGGGGTTCTCGCAGCGAAAAAATTTCTGCAAACCCTACCGTGTTGCAGCAAAGTCTCATGAAAAAGGAGCATTAAACTCAAAGTGGCTGTCCATTTACTGTTTTCGGGTCTCTATCTAGGCATAACCATAATGTCTGATTAAGACCGATCAGTATTCTGAGTATAAACAGGCTTCTGCCAGGGGGTTAACTAGGACAGAGAGCGATTTTTCCACTTTTCGTAGCGAGAACCCCAGGTTCAATCCTGGGGTTCTCGCTGCGAAATGAAGCTGTCAAATAAGCAGGGCTCGGTCTCCATCAGTTATTTGATGGGAGTGGCAAAATTGCCTATCTTAATTTTGACTCAGTGAAATTGCATGTTTTTATAAGACTGCATTCTTTTATTGATTTGCGTTACTCGTTTCCAGTCCTCGTTCCGAAACCGACCATTCGTTTAGTTATTGGCCGTTACTGTGAGATCCTAAAGATCTTTATCCTACGCCACTGTGTTCACACCATAATCTGGTATATGTATCAACTGATTCCGGCCTTTTGCGCAAAAATCGGTAATTCTGATCAATATCGATCGAGAGCCCATGAATGTCTAGAATTCCAGCTTATGTGGGACTCATTATCTGTTTTTGACCTCGTCGTAAAAGTCAGTATTTCCAGTCCATATCTATCGACAGCGTATTGTTTAAAAGAGATAGTGATTTCTACAATTGTGCTCACTCAATTGTGTGATTCGACTTCCTTTCCAGACCACTGCCCAAATCGATATTTTGATCGATATCGATCACATATCCGAAGCGCACGGCTTTGACCCCAGTCACTGTTTAGTAGTGGTCTCGTTTCATCGTGGCTGTGTCCTTGTCCCTCCTGTTACTCCAGGATCCACCGGCCTACGTGTACCTCAAAGGAGCCTCTCTTATTCAGTTGTCCTGCTCAGTACAGCTAAACTGTCCTGAACTTAAAGGAGG